TGCACGGGGGGCCCGGGGCTCCCCGTTACTTTTGGACCAAACTGAGGCCTGAAAGGTCGAAAAAAAAAATTTAAGACCGCCCCCCCTTATCTAAGGGTCTGGATGACCACCCCCCCCCCTCTTATCTGAAGGTCTGGATCCGCCACTGCAATTAGTCCCATTGCAACACTATACTTAGTGACCACCCCTTAACATCACTGACCTGTCGAAGTTGAGTTTGTGGTATTTTGTGACGATGGTGTCGAAAAATCTGCAAATAAAGTTGGTAAAAGGGAAACGTCAGCAACATATTACTTTCATCGATACAAAAAACCGAAATTTCAAATGAAAGGAGAAACAAATACGATTACTAATATAGGTAAACCTATGAGTTACGGTGTTGGTTCTTATATATATGCGGGTGTTTAATGTAGTTGACATTACAACGTCCCGTTTTCTTTTTTTCTTTTTTTTTTCGGTCAATTGTATCCTTTGCCTTTGTATGATTCTTATGTAGCTCTTTGAAATTTACATATTCATATTGATATCATATTGGGGAAATAAAAATAGAAAACGCAAGATTCCATGCACTGATTCAAATCGATTTACGCTGCTTTCATCAAAACACTCTCAGTTTCAAGAATTCTTTTAACTATAAGGAAAAATTTTGTTAGAAGGTGTAATTTCCTTTATTCCTCTTGCACTTTTTGCATGCAATTTATTTTAACAGCCGGAGAAAGACTCTGGAAATGAATAGGGAAATTTGTAAAGAAAAAATACGTCAGCACAGAAATGAATTGTAGGCAAATTTCTGTAATCGTGCATCCTTCTGCTAATAAGCTAGCTTGATTCCAGCGTTCACTTCATGGAACTTGCTTGTTTTTAGACTGAGCCTCTCAATAATTTCCCCAAAGTGATTTGTGTCTGTAAAGTCGTTTCCAATCAACGATTTACTTGTATCGATTGCTTTAGGATGAGTTCATGTAGTGAGGGTGTGAATGATAAACATGTGTCTGGCAAACCTTCCAAGTGCTTATACACTGTTTTTCGCCTCTCAAAACGTAAATCCACACTTACCAAGTGTCTTTCGGTCTATAATTTTGGTCAAACTCGATGTTTTCTCTTTCGTGGTCAGAGTTTATGATGCTTATTTAAGAGAACAAAATGAGACTAAGAAATGTACATTGCATTTTTTAAAAGCTTCAAAACAGCTGCTTCACAGAATGTCACTGAACAGACGAAACGCAAAACAGTAGAAGTATAAAAGTGCAGTGAATGTCACAAACTCAGCCCAAGCGGTCCCTTCGGGCATTTTGCAACTTAAGATTTTATTACATTTAGGACAAAATGTTATTACATTTAGGACTTTATTACATTTAGGGTCGTTTATTACATTTAGGACTTCTACACACGTACACCTGTGATAGGATTACGGCTATTGCTAGCGGGTGGTCATTTCTGTTATCTTTTGCATGTTGTCACACATCGTACTGGACAAGATAAAGTGAGGCGCGGTCATCGAACGTCAAGCTCATTGCTTCATAGACTTCTGGAAGTCTAGAGAGGTGTAACCTCCACCCTCAAATCATTCCGTCAGATCTGCTACCACGGCCACAAGATAACTTCAGAAACGCAATAGTGCATTAAAAAAAGACATCTCGCTCAGCTTTGGTCCAGGCAACATGCTATCATGGCTTATTCCTCCGTATATGGCTACTGAATCGTAGACTATCCTCACTTTAGTGGTCTCTTTGTCTTCTCTCACTACATGAAAATGAGGTAGGTACCAACTGGATGTAATCCCGAAGTAACCCTTGGGTTCATTCTTTCATACCATGGCTTCTATCACCTGGCAGTATTTCTCAGCAACCTCCAGACTTGGCTGAAGGTGTTTCTCAAGAGATAAGTCGGTCTTCAGCAGTCTTTCTGTTTGAACACAACGGCGTATCATCGTCCTTCCATGGAATTGCCACTTCATAGCCCCTCAGCATAACGCTTTGGTTGTGCCTTTTGCGCGCAGCAAGCACCTCCTCCGCTGTAAAGCGCTTGTTTTGATGAGCAATTCCCTTAACGTCTTCGTCCCACATCTTTTGCATTAGCTCACCGGCCCTTATTTCTGGAGTAAAGGTCGCATGGTATATGTGTAAACATTGCAAGCCTCATGACACTCGTTTGCTTTATCCGAGACATTTCCAACTCAGAGGCACCCAACGAGAATATAGTTCAAAACCACTTAAACATAGCATTGTTAAACGTATTTTAGTATTAAACGGTAGATATAGGCATATTTTTATCCCCTAAAATTTTAGGGATCGAAACTTACCTTTTCGAAAACTTCCGCCAGAAAAAAGGCTCCCGATAATTTTAGGTGACCTTTTTAGGGTAAAAATCCGTTAAAAATGGGCAATTATACCATTTTTTAGTTGTTCGAAAATGCTAGGAGAGGCAGGCAGGCAGGACATTTTACAACAAATGTTCCGAAAATTTTAGATCTCAAATCGTCTTCCGAAAATTGACGTCGGGTCCCCCTGCCAACTATTGCCTATGCGAGTGGTTTTCTTTACTCTTACAGGCTCCCCCAGATGTCCTTTGCGATATTCAAGTGGTAAAATGAGTTCCTCATAATAACCACTTCTCAATCGACTTTTACATGTTGAACTGGCTTTGTGATCTCCAGGTCGCGATTATGATCTAATTTCTTGCATTGACGGACCAATCAGTTGCTTTCATTTCACAAATTTCCACGAAAAATAATTGCTTCTGGTTGCTCAAATTCATACCCTCAAGGCAGGCGGGCAGTTACAGTATGGCTATCCGTTACATTCGACTTCGCTCCAAAAGCAGCAACACAGAGTGCGTACAAACCCAGTATAATATCAGCAATCTGCTCTTCAGGAAGGACGACCCAGACCCACCATCAATATGGTGGGTATCATCTGCAGCGCTACCCTTTCCGGGCGTGGTACACTTACCGGTTCAAGTCTTCAGACCCTCAACAGCTCGTGTGATTAGTTGGTACTCCAGGTGATGACGTCTTTCGATGAAGATGTCGTTGTCATCTAAAGCACAAACCCAACTTCTCTTATAATTACCATTGTTCACTTACAGTTGATTCTTCCAGGTTTCATACAATGTCAGTGAATGTTTTTTTTTCGCTTACATGAGTCTTCGCATGTTCTTTCTCCTGAGCCACTTCGATTTGTTTGAATTTGACTTGGGTTTCTCGAGCAACCAAAGGCTATCACTTTGACTTGACTCTCAGTTTCAGCCAATCATCTAGCTAATCGCTAAGGTCAACTTATTTGGGCTGTAGCTTTAACTTTTGCCTGCTTCACCTTACTGCAATTCTTGGAGATAGCTTTGTAACAATCTGCTGCATATTAGTTGCTGGCCAAAAGCCTGCCCCATGAATGTTCTCACAATAAATGTTGCCAAGTTTTCAAAGTGTTTTCATCCTGATCTGCTGATATCTCCAGGAACTTATTGATCAGTGACTTTGAAATTAGAGCTGGGTTTCCAAATCGTTCAGTCAGCTTTTCATACTATTGCACAAAAGACATATTTTGGACGTTCAGGGGCTAACAAATTTCGCGGCACGCCATATGCATCTGTTACGATAAACGCTAAAAACGTAGCAACTTTGTAATCTGCCTTGACATAATTCGCCGCAAATTAAACACAATTCCACTCTTTCGATGTAACTTGCAATTTCTTCTTTACCGTCCACATACTCTCCAACTTGACCTACAAGCGCCATCCTCGTCGCCAAAATTGTAATATTCTGCTCTTAAACAACAACACGAACGAGCCATTCGCTAGTCATTTTGATAATATTGCCAAATATGTCCTTACGGTATTCTCAATGGAACTCAGCGTAAGTTAAGAAATCACTTGCAAATGACAAATTCACTGCTTCATGTCAAATACATTTGTTCCCCAAACATCATATGAAAAGTTACAAGCAAAAAAAATGAATTTGAAAAACTTTCAACATATTTGAGTTTTCAAAAACCTCAGTGTTAACGTAGCAAAATAACTATTCAAGGAATTTTAATATTTAATCTTGCTGGCAAAAGTAGGAAAACCGTAAACGTCCAACAGGAAGCACAAAAGTACCCGCTTTGTTCGAGTTTTTATAAGCTTTTACCGACCGCCGTACTGCAAGGATCAAAGTGCTAATAGTTTACCTGCTATGGGTTGCTGGGCATGTGGTTGGCGTAGTGTAGGGTGGGGGCTGGTGGAATTTTTTGAACCCACATTTTAGAAAATTCACCATTGAAGTAAGTGAGCTGTATGTTATCTTCGTTTTGTTAGTTTAGTCTTTCTTTTGTTACCTTTTAAACAGAGTTAAAGTAGCTTAAATTGAATTTGTTTCAAGAACCACGTGATTTCGCTTGTGTCAACGTTTAGCTTTTATCGGCATTTATTCCGCTTTTTCTAGTTTCATTTATCAATCATTTGATTACAATTTTTGAATAGAATATATTTGTTCAATTTGATTCCAGATCGAAGAAGAATACTGTTATACAATTGCGAGTTATTCTTCGGATTGGATTCTCCGTTTTCTAATGAAACACGAGTCAGTTGCAATTAGTTTCAACCCTTCAAGCTTGTCCTCACACGACACGGCTCCTTCTGCATTTGCTGTTTTGAACTCGAGGGGGAGGGGAGGGGGAGTACTTCCTTATAAAAGGCTAATGGGGATGTGCCTCTGGATGGGGTTGCATTTTCACGACTGGATTGACTATAATGGGATCGCACATTTTCGGATTTTTTGGGGGTAAGACAGTTCTCCATATTTACGGTTAGCAATCGTACCAGAATGTTTGTACTGCAGATGAAAGGAAAAAGTGTTCTTCATTCAATCTAAAAAATGGGTCAATTCATAAAAATAGAAAGCGATTAAGTTGGGATCGCGAAAATTACACATTTGCCCCACCCCTTGGGTTTTGAGCGGTTATTTTTATGTTTCACTCAATTTGGTGGGGTTTTCCACTTTTTAAATTTGACAAATTTCGTGACACAAGACCTTTAGATATCACAGGACTATCAGTACCTTCTTCTGGAGGAGGAAATACTTTCAACTGGATAATTGAAGACCTGGAAAAGCTGGGGTCGTCATTCTCGCAGAGCCACACACATTTATACTTTCCCTCGTCTGCTTCAGTAACGTTAACAATGGTGAGAATGAAATCTGTTTTGCATCTGGTGTTGGTTGTCCTTTCTTGTATATCATACTTTTCACCAGATTTTAATTTCACTGAGCTGTTGTTAAAATACCACTGTAAAGAACTGTCCCAACAGTCGCTTGGCCTAACAGATACTAAGCACTTTAAACTGACATTGAAGTAGGCTTCCACCGAAACCTGAGGAGAAGAAATCTTCGGAGCTTTAGCCAAGAGACCTGTATTAGATGATAAGAAGATATGATGAGCAAATATTGTTTGAAAATCGTTATCATTTTTTGTGCAACCGTAGGGGGTAACATTCTTACTCTTACCCTCCCCTCCTGAATATTTGTGACAATACATGCGGCATCCCAGCGCTTTGGAGTTTTTAGGTGTTGATTTTGTTTATTCCAGTGGTTCCCTCTTTTGCGACTTATCTCGTCACACCATCTTTAAAGACGCTCTAACGATCGGTTGATCGGATGAACCCCACTTCTCTTATCTCCCACCAATATGGCCTGTGCTACTAAGGGTTGATTTCAATAGCTATTCGGCGTCTCGTTTTCTCTTTTTAACAATCACATGACACTTTACATTGGAATCTTGATGTAACGAACAGCTGAACGAAGACCCAAAGGACTGGCAAAATATGCTAACTATAAAGAGGTTTGAATTGTTATATAGAGGTTTCTTTTATTTATTGTACAGTCAAACCCCGCTCCAGTCTGGAAACCCGCTCAATACAGACATCTCATTGTTACGGACGGTTTGCTTTGTCCCTGGGGAAGGAAAGCCCTTACATTTTCTACCCGCTTAGTAAGGTCACCCCGTTAATACGGACTCTTTCGCCGTACGGCCCCTTTAGTGTCGGGATTTGCGGGGTTTGACTGTATTATTTCTGGGGCGTATCGCTTATTATTAAAAATTGAATTATTGGATAACGCAATTCCAGAGCTCTGATTGGCTTAGCCATCATGGTATATGAGCCGTTATACCGTGCTCTTCAAACATGATAACTGTACGCGTCTGCTTAAAATTAAAAACAAGATGAAAATCGGTTGGTTTACAAATAAAGTCGGGAAGAATTCTCGATATTTTGTGGGCGTTTTTAATAGAATAATTATTCCACTCGCGCTTGTTGGATATGAGATGGTAGTTAGCCAACTCGGTGCTACGCGCCTCGTTGGTTACCTTCATCATCTCATATGTAAAGCACACTCGCGGGATAAGTGGAATAATTGTTAATTACACCGAGGACTTCGTTATATAGAGGTTCTACTGAATTTTAGGTGAGAACACTCCCCTCTCATTAATGACTGTCCTGTGCTTGATTCCTCAGGCAACATCACATTTCGCCGGCCCGGTTGAGTTTGTTGGTCCTCACCCTTATTCCGCCATTGCCACCAAAACAACACATCACTCCCACGTTAATGCCGCCAGCTGCACAGGGTAAATTGGAGCCAGAATGGCAGACAAAGAACCACTATGTGGATGAGCTAGCGCCACTAAATCATTATTTATTTATTTATTTACTTATTTACTTATCCCTTGTGACCCGGGGGGTAAACAAATGAAAATTCCTGGCACGAAATTGTCAGTTACATTTTTTAAAATTCATTTAGGAATAAGTTAATCTGTTATTTGAAACATGAAACACCCAATATTTACTTCCATCTAAATCAAGAGAGAATGAGCTGTCCCTCTTAGTCTAAAGGGATACTTTCCATTGCTTACAGGGGAAACGTGGTATTATGTTTTTATGAACCTGCTTCAAAGGAGGTAGTTTTGCGCATCTGTGTGTAGTATTAAAAATAAGAAATTAAATGACTCACAGCGATAATTCAGGTCAATATATCCTGAATTTTTACTCGACCAGCCAGTAATGTTGTTCATTCCAGTGCATTTATAAACCCCTGCTTGTTTTTCTTGGATATCAGCATTACGGAGAAGGGAAGTTAAGGTATCCTCTCCAACCAGCTGCTCTGAGATGTAAAAACCTTCAGATCCGTTGATGATTTGTTTGGTTTTTGGGTTGGACCAAACTACACGAGGACGAGGCCATCCCTTGAAGGTACACATCAGTTCCATTTCTGTCGTGTCAGGATAGTATTCAACGGGAGAACTTGTCTTAGATACTCTCTGAACTGGAACTGAGAAGGAATTCTTCGTCTTAATTTCAAAGCTCGTAAGTCATGCACCCAGTCACTTAAACTAGGGAGCTTAAGTGACCCACTCGAAAGCCTAAGCTCCTTTGGCCACTGCGCACATTTCACCTTTGATCAGGATTTATGTAATTTGCTGGTTTTCTTCTTCTTGGTTTTGTAATATATTTTTAATTTTTATAGCAACCTCTTGAATTAGTGGAAAAAAATATCAAAGTCTGAAATGGAAAAATCTGAACCACCACGACGTCAACGTCAAAACACAAATGGTTTTAACATGAAAACAATAGTTGCTGCACATGCGTCAAGCTTCTTATGGTACATTTCTTTGACGTTGACTGCACGACTATGAAGTGAAACCTCCTAATCAAGGAATACGACGTTTTATAGAAAAAGTGAACATACGACGACAAATTCTCCTTTTTCTTTCTGCAAACTCGGTGCTACGCGCCTCGTTGGCTCCCTACCATCTCATATCCAACGCACACTCGTGTAATAATTGTTAATTATACCGAGGAAATCGTTATATAGAGGTTCTACTGTATTTCAGGTGAGAACACTCCCCTCTCATTAATGACTGTCCTCTGCTAGATTCCTCAGGCAACTTCATATATGGTCGGCCTGGTTGAGTTTTGTTGCCTATTACCCTTATTCCGCCATCGCAGCCAAAAAAATACATCGCTCCCACGTTAATCCCGCCAGCTGCGCAGGGTAAATTTGAGCCAGAATGGCAGACAAAGAACCACTATGTGGATGAGCTAGCGCCACTAAATCGTTATTTATTCATTTATCTACTTATTTACCTATCCCTTGTGACCCGATAAACAAATAAAAATTCCAGCGTCCAATTTGTCTGAATGGAAGTGGAAGGTGGCACGAAATTTTCAGTTACATTGATTTCTTTTAAATTCATCTGGGAATAACTTTATCTGTTATTTAAAACATGAAGCACCCAATATTTCATTCCGTCTAAATCAAGAGAGAATGAGCTGTCCCTCTTAGTCTAAATGGTATACTTCCCACTGCTTACAGGGCAAACACGGCAATACCTTTTTTATGCTGAACCTGATACAAAGGAGGTACTGTTAACTAAGGTGGTTTTGTGCATCCGTGTGTAAAAGAAGAATTCAAATAAGAAATTAAAGGACTCACAGCCACAAATCAGGTCAATTAACCCTGATTTTTCAGTCGACCAGCCAGTAATGTTGTTCATTCCAGTGCATTTATAAGCCCCGGCTTGATATTTTTGGATATTAGCATTACGGAGAAGGGAAGTTAAGGTATCCTCTCGATCGAGCTGCTCTGAGATGTAAAAACCTTCAGATCCGTTGATGATCTGTTTGTTACTTGGATTGTACCAAACTACACGAGGACGAGGCCATCCCTTAAAGGTACACATCAGTTCCATTTCTGTCGTGTCAGGATAGTAGTCAACGGGAGAACTTGTCTTAGATACTCTCTTAACAGGAACTGAGAAGGAATTCTTCGTCTTAATTTCAAAGCTCGTAAGTCATGCACCCAGTCACTTAAACTAGGGAGCTTAAGTGACCCACTCGAAAGCCTAAGCTCCTTTGGCCACTGCGCACATTTCACCTTTAATCAGGATTTACGTAATTTGCTGGTTTTCTTCTTCTTGGTTTTGTAATATATTTGTAATTTTTATAGCAACCTCTTGAATTAGTGGAAAAAAATATCAAAATCTGAAATGGAAAAATCTGAACCACCACGACGTCAACGTCAAAACACAAATGGTTTTAACATGAAAACAATAGTTGCTGCACATGCGTCAAGCTTCTTATAGTACATTTCTTTGACGTTGACTGCACGACTATGAAGTGAAACCTCCTAATCAAGGAATACGACGTTTGATAGAGAAAGTGAACATACGACGACAAAATCTCCTTTTTCTTTCTGATCCTGAATAAAGTCCTTAAGAATTCAACTCCGAGATAAATCGCCTACATTTGACAAATTAAGCAGCTCCAAATAGACGCGATAACATTTGAAACGAGGCAAATTTAAAGTTTTTAGCGACATTTTCACTGCTGTCGTCGTCGTCGTTGCTTAGCTCAGGATTTTTAAGATACCTACAGTCATCGCTCTTACCGACACCTTCCAACCAACCATGTTTTACTCCATGCCTTGTTCATTTTAAATAAGCCCTTTGCAGTAAGTCACTTTTGTGGCACAAACCTGCCATGCTGGAAAGCGAGGCCCTAAGCACTGAGTCAAGCCAAACAAAAAGCTAACATCATTTGAAATGATTCCTTTGTTTGTTGTTTGTCATGTCCCTTTCCCCTCGAGCATGGCATGAGCAACTAGAGTTCAGCGGTGAACCATGTTCAAGTGAGGTGATTTAGCTGGCTATAACTTCAACCGTTTTTACACTCAATCCAACCGCAAAAATTGCCTCAGCTGAGCTTGAATCTGCCCAAACCTGTTACGAGGCATTCATAGGATTCGTTATAATCCATTTAAAAAATAAGACATAAAAAAACTGATGGCCGCATTATGATATTTTTCTCCCCATCAATTTCAGACAAGGCAAAAGGAGAACATACTCACTGGCGTATTTTATAGAAGAACATTCACGTGGCTGACTTCTATTCTTTGAATCGATTTGTTGTAAGAACAGACCGGCGTTACTGGCATTGAGGTGTTTTTCAAGATACTGCCAGGTCATGTCTTGTACTTTTCCCCCATTCTTAATCGAGCAGTTGAAAGTCACTTTAGAGTCTTTCGGCGTTACTGTACGGGTTGTTTTCTCCAAAGGAGGTTGACATTTCTGTGCACTTATTTCACAGTCTGGGTTCCCTGTGGGTGACACATCTATCGCGTAAAAAGGAAAGAATAAACAGGGAAATTCTTTATTTCATCAAATATTAGCAATTTCGCCCACCTACTCCTCCCCTAAGCCATTATTTTGCCCTAAGCGATAAGTAAGTGTTAATGTTAGCTTAGGGGAGGGGTAGGTGGGCAGTTTCCCAGAAACCTAAATTGATTCAAACATTTATTAACTAACACAAACCTCCACAGGAACTCTTGACAAACCTACCACAGGGCACCCAACCTACTATCAGAGAGGAAGCCGTCACTATCCTAGCCCATGTATGTTTTTTGGCTGGTTATTGTTCTTTGGTAAAGAAATGGGCTTTTTAAAAGATAGGTTTGCAATGGCTGATTTGTAGCCTGCGTAGCAAGCGTTTCCTCGCGAGGTTCGTCTAGAAAGCTGGGACAAGAGCAAAAAGAAAATAAAAATGAATGACGGGGAGGGGGAGGGGATAGAAGGAAACGCTTGCCCGCAAACCACACGATTTTAAAAAACTACGTTCGCACACGAACGCAGCTTCTGATTGGCGCGGTGCGGACAGTGTTGATTGATTAGCATTCGAAACATCCATCAAACCAGGTATGCTTTGTTTTCGTGCCTCACAGATCTGGTCTCATCTGATTTGTGGTCGCAGATTACAAATGCTTTGGACTGATATTTATTTGAATCGTGTTTGTGCGAAGGTTTATGAGATTAGAGTCCTCAAAGCATAATTGGAGATCGAGCAGTGGAGACTAGGGAAGGCCAATTTATTGAGAATGACGGCGTGCGGATCTGACTGGAAAAAATGGACTGTTTGGTGGAGATAACATCAGCATGAATCAGAACATCGGTACTCGACACTAGCTTAAGCCACCATGGACAAGCGATTTGTCAGCTTTTTGAAATGAAAAGATTATTTTTGTTTATTGGAAATTTCGCGGCATGTATTGTAGAGAACGTTTCGACGCAGGCTGAAGAGCAGCCGCTCTGCAAAACTTATACCCGGCGGAGTGAATTGTTCCGGACAACTCATTTTTGACGTGTCGACAAGGTTTCAGACGAGATAAAGCCACACAATAAAAAACAAGAAATTCAACAGCAATCTATCAGAGTTTTAACTTTCTTTTATCATAAATCTTTTTTATTTTCAGTTCTTGCAATCGCCTGCAACGTGTTCTATTAGAGAACAAAGCAATTTTACAAATCTGGTAATCCAGTACCCTGGGTGCCAGAGGCTTTTTCTTGCGCAGTCGCTGCGCCTCTCGTGTCTTCGGCCTTCGGCCAAACACGTGTCGGCCTGCGGCCGACGAAGCGAAGCTCCCCGTCGCACGCGAGAAAATACCTCTGGTACCCAGAGTAGTAATCCAGGGGTAATCTGTTCGTTACACTTCTATTTTGACGAGCTACCAATTTACAAATGAACCGAACCGTGAAATCTCAAGGGGCGTTTTCCAGAATCGTGGGGTTTGCGGGCAAGCGTTTCCTCTTCTCCCCTACCCCTACCCCTCCCTCTTCCACTTCTTTTTTGCTTCCGCTCTAACTTTCGCGCAATAACTCGATTGGAAACGCTTGCTACGCAAGCTAGCTGATTTGACACTCAGTCTTATCAACAAATGATCGGAATAATTAATCCTACTGATGGTTGAAAAAGAAGCAATGATTATTATATTTAAAGTTATTTTAAATATTTAATTTTAAAAAGATCAATAATTAAATTCAAGTAGCTTTTGCAATACTGTAATACTTTGTTAAAGTAATGCAAATACAACATATTGTTGTTATTGATCGAAACTATTTTCGTCCTGATCAGTAATAAACATTAATGAATTATTTGATTTCCTTAATTTCCGAGGCATCATACACGGATGTTTTTTTAGTCAAGGCAAGAATTCAGAAACAACAAGGAATTAGCTTCTGGATTGAAAACAAAATTATTTCCGCCTATGAACGCTCCACGGAAAAATCGTGAACCACCGCAGTCCTTTGATCGCCTATAATGTACATGTAGCCGAATTTTTGAAAACGTTCCTCAAAAAGGTCCAGAATATCCCCAGCGGTTTGAATTTTCATAGGAGACTTGCCGTCTTGGTTGGTCTCATCGTCAAGCTCAGACCCTGAGCTAACTATATATTACTGATCACTGTGTCCCTATAATATATGAAATTTGTATATATGTTTTGATGTAGATTAGGTTAGTTCAGTTCTTAAACACACGACCCCACAAGCTTTTATATCTTTAAAAATTATTGTGTTTAATTAAAGATTATGTAAATATGCATGTAACAGGTGTTGGGAACGTAGCGAAAAAATAAGAGAAGAGGCAAGGTGAATATTTAGAGTGAAGATTGGGATTTAGTGTACCAAACTCTCTCGGCCAACCGCTCCAGCACGATGTTCGATATGTCTGTGAGCGATTTGTTCCAGCACTGTGCAGTTGCCAGAGTTGCCGTTTCTACGATGCCAGATACTCCATTTTTATACCTATCCGGTATAGTGACGACAGAACCTTACCCTTTTTCCTCACTAACACAGTCTCCGTTGCAGTTCCCACCGAAATCATCAATGACTTCCTTGTTAACTGATGTTGAATGAGGTGGATATAGGTAGTAGATATTCTTTTGACTTGCTATACAAACTGTATCGTTTATATTTGTTTTGTTGTTCTGATCATATTTAACGAAAAGCAGGTGAATTGAGTTTAACATGCAACGAGCAATGCCACGTCGAGGCTGTAAGATGACATTCTTCATTCGTGCCTACATTTTAGCGCGTTGGGAAGTTGATCAAGAAGCAAAATACAACTACAAAAAAAAAAAGAAAAAAGAAAAAAGAAAACAAACAAATAACTAAAACAAAAAACAGTGAATGACCTTGCGGGATATAATCAGCTATATATAGTATATAGTGATTTTGTTCGCGAGAAATTTATTGCCGATCGAATTTTCCTGTCATTTAGCATGACAATCGCCCGTGAATCTTTCTTCCCTATTAACCGGCGCCCCGGTTTATATAAACGCCTCAAAAATACAAAAACAAAACAGGCAGCTAATAGCCACAACCCGACTTAACCCGATAAAAATCTGAAAGCAAACTGGTCAACTCTTCGCTTTTTGGAAAAAGATTCGATAAATATATAACAATTATTCACCGAAGTGGAGGTGGCTATTTAACAATTATTCCTCGAGCCCGAATGGGCTCTGAGTCAATAACCCTTGAGGTCGAAGCCAGAATGGGCTATTGACTCAGAGGCCATGAGGGGGAGATTTAACAATTATTCCTCGAGCCCGAATGGGCTCTGAGTCAATAGCCCATGAGGCCGAAGGCCGAATGGGCTATCTCAGAGGCTATGAGGGAGAGAGGAATAATTGTTAAATAGCCACCTCCACTTCGGTGAATAATCTTTATATATTTATCGAATCTTTTTCCAAAAAGCGGAGATTTGACCAGTTTGCTTTCAGATTTTTATCGGGTTAAATCGGGTTGTGGCTATTAGCTGCCTGTTTTGTTTTTGTTTCTTCATATAACTCGTGTAAATAACATCCCAAGGACAAATTGCATCGAGCTGAGATAGTTAGTCAGTTAAATGGATACGGGAGCCTAGTTGTAATGTTAATATCTTCTCAACAGCTGTTTCAATTGTAATATGTCCTCCGAGGAGCCTAGTATCTTAGAAACTTTGAAAAGCTTTGATGCCAGGGATTGCTGTTTCAACGCAACAAGGTTATTCAACATCGTCACTTTCAGACTGGGTGTTAANCCTTGAGGTCGAAGCCAGAATGGGCTATTGACTCAGAGGCCATGAGGGGGAGATTTAACAATTATTCCTCGAGCCCGAATGGGCTCTGAGTCAATAGCCCATGAGGCCGAAGGCCGAATGGGCTATCTCAGAGGCTATGAGGGAGAGAGGAATAATTGTTAAATAGCCACCTCCACTTCGGTGAATAATCTTTATATATTTATCGAATCTTTTTCCAAAAAGCGGAGATTTGACCAGTTTGCTTTCAGATTTTTATCGGGTTAAATCGGGTTGTGGCTATTAGCTGCCTGTTTTGTTTTTGTTTCTTCATATAACTCGTGTAAATAACATCCCAAGGACAAATTGCATCGAGCTGAGATAGTTAGTCAGTTAAATGGATACGGGAGCCTAGTTGTAATGTTAATATCTTCTCAACAGCTGTTTCAATTGTAATATGTCCTCCGAGGAGCCTAGTATCTTAGAAACTTTGAAAAGCTTTGATGCCAGGGATTGCTGTTTCAACGCAACAAGGTTATTCAACATCGTCACTTTCAGACTGGGTGTTAAAACTTTCCCACAAGAATTAACGTTTTGCAGCATTTCATGACGCTGTTCATGAGTGTCCATAAAGTCACGGCTCAATGAGTAGCAGCGTTCAGTTTTCCTTCAAGCAATTTTCTTTGTCAGTTTTGTAAGAACAAAATACCATGAGGTCTTTTGCATTAGTTGATCACGTGATCAACTTTCGGTAAACACGAAAACAGTTCGCTTTTGAAACTCTCCTGAAATATTTTTACTTCTTTTTTAAAGTGAAATGCTCTTTTGTTAAAATTTTTGTTGGGTTTCAATACATGAAATTAAACAATGCATGTTTACTGTTTCATTCTCAGGCAAGCATAAGGTATTCATCAGGGCTATAAACCACACGATTATGAACGCGAAATGGTTTCACATGTACCTTTCCTTGACCTTAATACGGTCAAGAAGGAAAAAGAATGACAATAAGTCAGTTCATTTTGTGTGTGCTCCTGTTCTTTATGCGCTTCAGGTTTCCTGTACAAGATACTTTTAAAAACAGATGCCAGGCCAGCATTCTACTACTGAACTTGGACAAAAACAAAGGTTACCTTTCTATGATATTTCACTTGTTGTTCAAAAAAAAATGTTTTTTTTCGGATATTATAGAACAAGTTGGTACACCGTCCCAGAAGTAGGAACACTATTATATCGTGTTGGTCATGCGTCCGTTGCCTAATGCTTACCGTAGGGATTCATATGT